CATCGTTGTTATCATTTCAATAAGAGAAATATTCCCAAGTCTTCTTGTCACAAAGAAATATACACTTAGATTGCATCTTACGAATGTGATAACAACAGCTATAATAGTAACCACAAACACAATTGCCACGCTTATCCAAATGTACACCTCTCCTTGATATGCCACCCTTATCCCATGATACACTTCTCCTTGATATGCCACCCTTGTTTCCACCTCAAATCTACAGATAAATCTGTAGTTTTAGCGAATAATGTCTTCAAAATACTTTCATATAAGAAACTTTATCTCAAGAACTTTCATAGTTCTTAAATTCACTTTTTGATCTCAACTCACTATTTCTTTCAAAACAGACTTCACGTCACAGCCGTTTTAAATGAAAACAACAATATCTTTTATCAATATATAAACCACTTTTAAAAGATACAAAATATCCTCCTCCAATATAAAAACAGTTAGAAACTGTTAAACAACATTTGAATGATAACAGTCCTCATCAGACAGACTCTGGGTGATAAAGGGCCCTCATCGGCCAACACTATGGTCGATAATCCCTCCTCATATATCATACAACACTCAAACAACAATAATCTCATCGAAAGTACGATGTTACTTCAGACTTGTACTCTTTAAATAACTCTGAAGTATAATTCTAAAAAATGACTCTTCAGAATTGAATTTTTTAGAAATGAAACTAAATCAATAATTAGTTAAAATGATGTTAACCCTAGAATAAAATTAAATTTAGTAATGAAACTATATCAGTAAATTGAATTTAAACTTAGAAGTAAATTTAGCATGACTCTTCAGACTTGTACTCTTGAAATAAATCTGAAGTAAAACTCTTCAGACTTCAGAGCTCTATATAGGCAAGCCAGAAGCTCTGCATGCACTATGTAGAGGCTCTGCATGCACTATGCAAAGGCTCTGCATGGTGCTCCGTCCGAAAAAGAAGACTTCAGAGTTCGGGTGAGCTAACTCTAAAGAATGACTTTTCATACTTGTACTCTGGAAATAACTCTAAAGTAAAACTTTGAAGAATGACGCTTCGGACTTGTACTCTTGAAATAACTCTGAAGTATAAAATCAATCCCACTAAATCAGAGTTCAGACTTCTACGTCTGAAAAAAAGACTTCAGAGTTCAGAATTCAGAGTTTGGGTGAGCTAAGTCTGAAAAAGAAGACTTCAGAATTTGAGTGAGCTAACTCTGAAGAATGAATCTTCATACTTGTACTCTTTAGACTTGTAGAAGACTTCAGAGTTCAAACTTCTAAATCTGAAAAAGAAGACTTCAGACTTCTTTTTCTAAGTCTAAAAAAAAGACTTCAGAGTTCAGACTTTTAAGTCTGAAAAAGAAGACTTCAGAGTTCAGACTCCAGAGTTTGGTGAGCTAAGTCTGAAAAAGCAGACTTTAGAGTTCGGGTGAGCTAACTCTTTAGAATGACTCTTCAGACTTGTACTCTTGAAATAACTCTGAAGTATAACTCTAAAGTATAACTCTAAAGAATGACTTCAACTTGTACTCTTTAAATAACTTTGAAGTAAAAATCTGAAGAATGACTTCAGACTTGTACTATTGAAATAACTAAAGTATAACTCTGAAGAATGACTCTTCAGACTTGAATTTAGAAATGAAACTATACCAATAATTAGTTAAAATGAAGTTAACCCTAGAATAAAACTGAATTTAGAAATGAAACTATATTAGTAATTTAATTTAAACTTAGAATAACGCATGTGTCAAATCTGAAGACGAAGTCTGAAGACGTTGAGTTAAGAGTTATTCAAATACCCAATATCTTTGAAAAAGACCCCATGGTAAAGTTTGGATCATAGAAAGCAAGACCAACTAGAGCTCCTCAGATCCTTAAGGACCAGAGCCCTTGTGGACTCACCAACCAAAAACAAGGCCAACCAAAGGTCATTTGGTCAAACCAGAGCCCCTCTAGTCAACCAGAGTTTATGGTTCGTTTATCCAGAGTCTCTGGGTCATAAAAATGTTAAATGCTTAAAGAATTTGAATTCCAATTACAACCAAAGACCCTCTGGTTAAATATGAAGATCAATCAAAGCCCCTCTGGTTCCTTTATGATGTATTGGAATATTTTTCCAAGGTTTAAATAAACAATCAAAAGCAAAGCCATCCAGAAGCCAGACCAACCAAAGGGGCTCTGGCTTACAAGACTAAGTCTAAGACTTAAAGACTTATCTTCAAAGTCTAGATAATTTATTACAAGACTTGTACTCTTGAAATTACTCTGAAGTAAAACTCTTCAGACTTCAGAGCTCTGTATAGGCATGCCAGAAGCTCTGTATGCACTATGCAGAGGCTATGTGCTCCGTTTGGAAAAGAAGACTACAGAGTTTAGGTGAACTAACTCTGAACAATGACTCTTCAGACTTGTACTCTAGAAATAACTCTGAAATAAAACTCTGAAGAATGACTCTTCAGACTTGTAATCTTGAATAACTCTAAATTATAAAATCAATCCCATTACATCAGAGTTCAGACTTCTAAGTCTGAAAAAAAAGACTTCAGAGTTCAGACTTCTAAGTCTGAAAAAAAAGACTTCAGAGTTCAGACTTCAAAGTTTAGGTGAGCTAAGTCTGAAAAAGAAGACTTTAGAATTCGGTTAAGTTAATTCTAAAGAATGACTCTTCAGACTTGTACTCTTCAGAATTGTAAAAGACTTCATAGTTCAGACTTCTAAATCTGAAAATGAAGACTTCATACCTCTTTTTCTAAGTCTAAAAAAAAGACTTCAGAGTTCAGATTTCTAAGTCTGAAAAAGAAGACTTCATAGTTTAGACTCCAAAGTTCGATTGAGCTATGTCTGAAAAAACAAACTTCAGAGTTCGGGTGAGCTAACTCTGAAGAATGATTTTAGACTTGTTCTCTTGAAATAACTCCGAAGTAAAACTTTTCAGTAAATTGAGTTTAGAATAAAATGAATTTAATCCTAGAATAAAATTGAATTTAGAAATGAAACTTTATTAGTAATTTGAATTTAAACATAGAAGTAAACACTATTTTTTTCGGGAATCAGTTATCACACGAATTAATTAGCCGAAGAATAAAATCGATTACATCTTAAATTAGTGGTATTGATTGAATAAGAGGATACATGTCAATCAAATGAGTATAACTGAACTGTTAATGTAAACTGTGTCTAGATACGTTCAAATGAGTCTAATTGAACCATTAATGTAATTGTGTCTAGATACATGTTTAGGCGGGAAAACAAGACAACCGACTCACCAGAAGATGATACGTGTAACCCAAGTTACTTATTTATTATATGTATAGATATATAGAGGTAGATCAAATGCAAAACAGACCTTTTGTACAAACCGTAAAAACCTAATTCAAGCAACCATATTTTTTTCTTTCACTTTTTCTAATTATAAAGGTTGACTGGTTATTTTTATTGTGGAGGACGTTAACTATGGACATTATCATCTTTATTATACTAATTTTAGAAAACAAATTTCATCAAAATGAAAAATGCATGAAGCAACTTCATTTTTACATAGAAACAAAAATGTATGAAACAATTTCATCATTTTAAACAATTTCGTGAAAATTTTCATTAAATTAAACAATGAAATCAATAGTTTGTATAGTTTGTACAAATAGCTTGGTTTAAATTTGATCTCTCCGAATGGTTTAATTTACAATTCCTTTAAAACTTACAACCCTTACAATCAAAATTTTAACCATTGATTTCATGATCGACATTTACAATAGATGTGGACCAAATATTTTTATTTAAAAAAAACAAAAAAATAAAAACAAAATAACTGCTTATCATTCATTCAACGGTTAAGATGGAGTTACAAAAATTGTAAGATTTACATGGTTTACAAATTAAATTAACCTTGACTTATGTATTCTATAGACTTGAGATCATGTGAGACCAAGGTTTTTCATAAAACCCGTAAGACCAATTCTCAACCTTGGATTATATCTACAATCTGAACATTCATAATCACAAAATTGGCACGAGACTTCTCAATAATCACAAAATTGCCACCGTGCAACTTTAGACCATAGATCATTAGCTTATAAAGTTGATCAATGAACATAAATTGGTCTTACGGGTCTCACGAAAAACCCTTGGTCTCACGTGAACTCAACTCTGTATATACATACACAGTACAACAAAATCGGGTTTATGGGATACTCCCAAATTGTAAGCGTCCTAATAGACCTCTTTATAAGACTTAGTTTATAGGACAAAGAAAATAAAGTGTCTTATCTAATGGTGTTGTATTGAGTTTATATGACGTTTTTTGATGTCGTAATAAGTTTTTTATGACACTTTTAATATAAAGCGTCCCACTATCAACTTTATAGGACACTATTTGAAAAAATGTCCTATAAAAACAAGTGTCCTATAAAAAATTGAGTTTATAGGACAATTTCTCAAAAGTGCCATATAAAGTTGCTAATGCGATACTTTGTATTAATAATGTCCTTAAAAACTTGTTAAGATGTTCAAAAGTGTCGTATAAACTTATTACAACACCTTTATATAGGACGCTTTATATTTTGGTCCTATAAATTAAGTCATATAAAGCGGTCTATTGGGACACTTAGAGATTGGGGGTGTCATATAAATCCAATTTTGTTGTAGTGACATATATATATATATATATATATATATATATACGTATATGTATATGTACATATATATATATATGTATATGTATATATATGTATATACATATACATATATATACATATATGTATATGTATATATATATATATATACACACATGTACGACCTTTGGTTGGGTCTTTGCTAGCTTCTAAGAGTGAGCCATGAAAGAAATTAAAGACGAAACATATTTTAAAAACAAAAAATTATAAGTAAGGATGGGCCAGTGAGACCTCTGCTTACTGCTTTTGACTTTAAAGTTTAAACTAATTAAGAATATGTATATATAAATGATATCATATTTATTTAAAAAACATACAAATAAATGAGTACATACATTCCATTATAACCATATGAAACCCTCATTTCTTAAACAAAACAATGTATTGTTGATCGAATTCAAAATTATGCAAAATAAAGATGATGAAAAAGCAAATATCAAAGCTCATAGTAGGTCACCGTCTCTCATAACTTAGAAAGTGGTAGCATATGCTGAAACTATTAAAGATAGAAGTGGGATGGTTGCCAATCTGATAGAAACCGCATCCGATGAACCATCGTTTGTTGATGGGACCGAATTCGATCCACGACCCGTATCCGACGGGTTGTTTGGAGATGAAGAAGATGGTGTTGTTGTTGGAGAGTTGCCGGGAGATGACGCTGTTTAATTCAAAACATTATGCAAGAATTAGTACATGAACAACTACGGGTTTATTTAAATTCTTAGAAAAACAAAGATATTAAATGTAAAATTGATGGTATATATAGTAGTTGTTTTTTTTTCTTTTTATAAAGGTTTAACAGCCAAATAACAGGTTCTAAGCTTTCTTAAGAAAAAAAAATGAAATCAAATACAACCAAACAAAAAAAATTGATCATATATCAGGTTTAAGTCAGTAAAAAGGTGTTACCGTTGCATTCACTGGTTGGTGGTGTTTGAACGTTACATGCCTTAGGCAACTCAAGGGCCTGCGCTTGGTTAATGTTAAGACCTAGGGACGAGCCACCACCGTTTAGGACCTCACACAAGCACTTTGGTTGTGAACGAACCACACTAGCCAATTGGGTGCAACACCCTGAAGAGGGGGTTGACGAGTTTCCAGTGATGTAGTTAAGGCAAGGTGACATGCTAATGATCACATTCGTGCATCCTGAAGATGATTGAGCCATTCCACAACCACATAACATGGCCAATGTGATAGCCACGATCACTGATTTCAAAACAAGAGCGTTATGTGTTTGATTTTGTGCCATCATAGAGGTGTTTGATGAAGAATGAGTGTCTAAGATTATCGTGAATTCGATTGAAGAAAGAATCAGTGTTTCGGTTTGATTTATAGAGGAAATTGGATGAAAAAGTCAAAGTCAATTATTGAGGTAAGAGGGGTTGCATTTAGGTGACCAACTACACTCCTAATCCATGGCACATATTGTTTTTATAATTTTTTAATTTTCCTTTTACATTTTATATGTTATTTTCTTTTCTTTGTCGAAACAAATTTAATTGGTTTATTTATGAATGAACCAGTCGTAAATGAAATTTTATAAAACACTGAACCTACTGTTCATATTACATTTACTACTTAGGCTTTTTATACATATTCAGATAAAAAAAGACTGTAATCAGAATCGAGACTCATTAAATTGCCAAAACGAAATCAGCTAATCCAAAATACTTAGATTTGGGACGTCATAAATGTTTGTAAATTCATATCGTGTTAGGGTCAAGGTTGAATCAAATCGTGTGATTCTGAAAAAGGGTGTTTTTCCCATGACCTATCTTGTTCATGAAATTGTGGAGTAAAATTCTGCAACCAACCGACACAAATTACATTCTACATCTTCAACTACTTACCATGAACTCAGGATGCAGTTGAAAGCTAACAGTGGGATAAAGTTATACTCTTATTGAGTCAATTCAAACACGCTAATTTTGATAAAACTATAAGACCAACAGTATATTTAGAAAGAATTTTTAATCAAATTGACAACACACAAACCAGATCAATTCTAATGCTAGTACATATAAATATTAGTTTATCCGTTTTACAAAAATGCAATGTTTACGTGATGCATATCTATACCATATTATAAAGCATTTGAGAAAAACTCTTAAAACCATTTTTTATGCATGAAGTACTGTCTATTAATGCATATTACTTAAAATTTAAGATTACAAGTAAATTGTGCGTAAGTACAACTTATTAAAGCTCCATTTATGAATTCGTATAACTAACGACATATAAATATAATCAAATATAGGATAAACATCTCATTTTAAATATAGAAAATTTAAAATATAATTAAGATAATTATTGAGTTCTAACAGAATCATTATCTTTATAAAAAATTTATTATTAAGGCAAAAATAAATTACTTCACTATTTAACCTAATCAAATTATAATAAAAATTTGAATTAGAGAAATTGTACAAAAAACGAGAACTTTTAAATAGTTAATTTAATATTAATATCGGTATAATTTTTCAGATTTTACGATGTCTTCAAATTTATTTTTATTCAAAAGTAAAAACTTTAGCTTTCTCAAAACCACATAAACCGTATTATATTAACAAAAAATAAAACAAAACATTAAAATGAAAATACATCTCGTTGCATAACACCAGTATCATTCTAGTTTTGATAAATATGATAATTATTGATTAAATAAAATAATTGACGGAATTTAGTAAATATTTTATTTGTGGAAATATAAAAAGTTTAATTTATTTAATAAGTAAGATCGAAAGAATAGAAGTTAATTATTTTGGTGAGCTAACAACCTAACTCGTATCTACATAACATTATTGCATTTTCTTGGGAATTTCCTTATTTCTTTAGAAAATCGAGGGGTCGTTTACCAAACACTTACCCGATAAATGTTTATCAGTAAAATTTAACACTATCATTTACTTATTGGGTAAGATTTTAGTCCACCAAAACGTTATCTTATGCAACAGTTTACCCGGTAAGTGCTTATCATGATAAAAGTCGTCGCCATCACTTACCGAGTAAGACTATTGAACCTTGTTTCGCTCTTATCGGGTAAGATTATTAGTTTTTACTATATTCATCCAGTAAGGTAATGTGACTTGATAAGTATTTACCCGAAAAGTATTTAGTAAACAGCTCCTAAATGTCAGAATATAAATGCAATTGGTAACTAAAATATTGATTTCAGATTCAGATAAATTAAGAAAGACTAAATTGTGTATTATAATAAAACATATTTTGTTTTAAAATATATAATATTTATATATGATAAATATAACAAATAAACTTATAGATTTTTTTTTATATTTAATAAGATTTCAACTTTGAAAAGTAAAAAAAAAAAATAGATATCATCAAACCAAAAGTCATTTGGTTATTATATATTTTGTTTCGATTTATATTTTAAAATATTTACTTTTAAAAATTACACTTACCAAAATCGGTTATAAAAATTAGTATTTCAATTACCATATATTCCAACTCAATCTTTTATTGAGGACTGTTTGGCAATTGCTGAACGGTTTGGTGTAGAACGATTAAGTGGTCAGAATGATTAAGACTCTCATGATATAGTGCAAAATGAAATATAATTATTTGGTAATTGTGTACAATGAAATTAGGGCTTTTAATGGTTAAGGGACATCAAGGATACAAAATCATTCAGAGAGTTTAAAACCATTAAGAGACAAACTTTTATTTTGCCAAACAAGATTCACTTCTTAATAATTCAGAGGTTGCCTCTTAATGAAAGTATTAAGAGATAAACAAACAACCCCTGAATTAATTTTATGAATCACATATAAATTCATATATTTGTAAACCTATCATTCATACTTGAACGATCTATCAAGTAATTAATTATTTGCCTTTAAAAAGGTACAAAAGCTTCTAATATATATATATATATATATAGAGAGAGAGAGATTGATTATTATACAACTCTTGACATTTGTGCAACCAATACAATCCAATCTCAACCGTCCATTTCATTTGATTAATATGTGATTTCATATAAGTTTTATTATTTTCTAATATAAAGTATTGATCATAATTAATGAACCCTATTCATCTTCCATAAATATTCAAATCATAATAAATGAACTCTCATCATTTCTATAAATATCTCAATTAATTGGGTTGCATTGGTTGTACAAATATACATGGTTGTATTTGAAATATACCCTATATATATATAGGGTATATATATATATATATATATATATATATATATATAGGAACGTTCAAATAAAAACCTGTCTCATTTGTGTAAACCGTGTAAACCAATCACATCCATCCATTTTCTTGATCAATGACCAATATTAGTTTACTTTATTTTAGGAAATTAAAAAAATATATATATTAAAAATTTATTTTATTTCAACAGTAAGGGCAAAAATAGTAAACAAAATTTAACATTTGGTAACATCCTTCTCAATATTAATGACACTATTTTCATTTTTTAAAGCAATATATTATTTTTAACTTTAAATCACATCCATCAATAAAATATAAAAAAAAATGAATATAACACATCATATTCAATTATATGGAATGAATCATTTTAAATTTTGAATTACATTATATGAACGAAATTGGTTTCAAAATTTAATCAACAGACTAATCCACGTAATACTGATCATATTTCGTAATTTTCATTATACTGGTAGATGGATCTGTTAGACTTAGATAACGAAATTTTTTCATCGATTACTGACTTAATAAAAGTTTATAATACAACATGAAATTATTTCACTTATGCAACCATTTCACTTATTAGGCTCAATACTGCCATGAACCAGTTTCACTTTAATGAAAACTATTTCATGTACAGTAATTTTCTTATTTCACCATCGATTTGATGGAATCATTCCTTTAGTCCTTACAATCTTGAAGATTTTGAAGCAGATTATAATCTTCAAGATTATGTAGCAGATTAAAATCATTTCCCCACTTCATCATGCACTTTGTTCATGACGAGCGAAATACAAAATGACTCAACTACACCATCAATGCAACAGGTTCACCATGAAAATATTTCGGTTCACAAAATTTATTTGCAACAAGACCCGGTTTCACGTTCATGAAACCTGTTTCATTTTCCTTTTCATAATTTATTTTCAAAATGCACCGGTTTCATTTTCCTTTTCATCAACAAAATGGATCAACTACACCATCAATGCAACGGTTTCACCATAAGAATGTTTTGGTTCATCTAATTTATTTGCAACATGAACCGGTTTCACGTTCATGAAACCTGTTTCATTTTCCTTTTCATAATTTTTTTCAAAATGCATCGATTTTATTTTGCTTCTCATAAAAAAAAGGATTAACTACACCATCAATACAACCGGTTCACCATAAAAATGTTTCGGTTCACCTAATTTCTTTGCAACATGAACCGGTTTCACGTTCATGAAACCTGTTTCATTTTGTGGATTTTTTTTGTTCATCTACGTTTTGATGATTTCATTCTATAATTCAATTGTTTCATCAAGACACGTTTCCTGATTATAACTCATGACAATATATGAAATCTAAATTTTAATATTTTAATATAATTAAATATTTAAATGTTACCATTTATACAATTTTATTTATTACATTTCCTTAATTAAGATTTATTAATAACTTCCAAATTTAATAGAAAATATTGTAAATGACCGAAATACCCTTATTGATTAAATTTAATTAGAAAAAAAAGAATTTTCCTATTGATCGAAATTGGTTTACACGGTTTCTTTGAAATGCACGCTTTTCATTTGAACATGCCCCTATATATATATATATATATATATATATATATATATATATATATATATATAGGCCTAATCAAATGAGAACTAAATATTTTGTGGTAACTGTAAGGTACAATATGAATCAATCATTTTAGATAATTAATGTTACTTACTAAAATAAAACAAAGGGTAAACTAGTAATTTATGTTGATTATTCAATTTACTTTAATTAGTTTAATATTTTAATTTACTTTAATTAGTTTAATTATTATAATATATGTATATATATATACACACACACACAAAGACCAAATCTGGTGGCCTGGCCTTCTCCGGCACCCACCACCACTCCAATGACTAGGAGTGTACGCGGGTTGTGTTAGGCAGTTTATGACATTTTTACAACCCAATCCAATTATGACAGTTTGGAAAATATCAACCCAACCCAATTCATTCAAAAGTATAACCCAACCCAACCGAACCCTTACGAGTTAAGGTGGGTTGGGTTGAGTTGACGGGTTACAAAAATTCATAAAATTACCGCAAGAGTTGGGTGGGATTAACAGGTTACC